TTTCACTTTTGTCCATTTCAAGTAACCGAATGATCCCTAAATAATTTGGTTATAATTGAATTTATAAATCAAGCTTTTTAAATAATAGTGAGAACTTAATTCAGTTAGCTATGTAATCAAATGCTAACAAATATAACAAAATATTTGCATTCCAGCTTTTTGACTTGGTCTGGGATGATTATTTTTGTCTCTGCAGTGCCTCATTTTCTTACCTTCTTGTTTCAGCCATCTGCACTGCAAAAGATGGATCTCACTTTGCTATCCTTGCTGTGAACAATCTGCATGGCAAAGCTTGTAAAAATGACGCAGATGGGATAATTTTATTATTTGGAGTGGAAAATCCCATCCCTCTAGCAACCTGGGGGGTCAGAAAGGTACAACTTTTCGTCCTGTTATCTCAATTGTGCTTCTGAAAACTGATACAGATCAAAATGTAGCAAATATAATGCACTGATTCTAGTGGTTATATTATCACTAACTGGTACTTTGTTGCTCTTACATAAAAAAATAAATAATAAATAAATAATAATAAAAATAACTTTCTTGCTCTTATGTTCTGTTTGTATGTGCCATGTTTGGCATAGAATTTTAATTTATGAGAGCTATTGGCTTTCTTATTGAATAAAAGAAACCTTTTGTAAATGTACTCTTATATGCCATGTTTTGCATCAAATTTTAATTGAGAGGTATCAAAATAATTATCCTTGTAGGAAGATGATTTTTCAACGATATTGATTGGATGATGAGGCTTGAGAAAAAAAATTGGTGATATATTTTTGATGCATCAACTTAGATGCTAATAGTTTTGTAGTTAATTGTAAAGGAACTTGATTGTTATAAACTATATGAAGAAGGATTGCTGCTACCATTTTTCATCAAATACATGGACTTCATAGGTTCTTGTTTTATTCTAATAATGTTTTTTTGTTCTATTAATTTAGGCAAAGGGAGGCGGCCTTGCTTTTATTTCCCCTGATTTATCAATTAATGATACAAAATTTCCAGATGAAGGAAGCCATTCATTACTAGCTTACATCAGTGGTGATCACCAATATGTTATCTTTGATCCACATGCAGAGGTTCAGACTGCCAGAAATGCTCGCACAAGACAATTTCCTGATGAAGAACCAGGTAACTAAAAGAGGAATTTACATACCTACCTCAATTTTTTATATATATCTAATACCCATTTTTTCATATTTAAATTTGTATTTTATCCTTAAAAAGTTAATAATGTTGGTATTTAACCAATTGATTGCCATGCATGTAAATACGAAGGTTTAGTTATTAGATACGTAAATCTGTAATAAGTGTGTGGTATGTATGTAAATGCTATAATAATAATAATAATTTTGGTTATAATCTGCAGACACATTTCTGTTACTTTTTTAACCACCTATTTTTCATGATTCTCGTCTGAAATTTTCTATTTTGTGCTTCAGAACACATCGGATACACATCCATATATGGGGAGCTCCCAGAAATTGACATGCAGAGAGAAGAGAGCATTTCAGAAATTCCATTTATGCCTTCAGAAAGAATCTGGGAAACTATATTTACTGGATCATCACATAATCTTCCACCATTAACAAAGCTTTGCGCGACATTCTTGGAATCATTAATGGAGAAAAGTTCTACTGTATAAGACTGATAAATTTGATATTTTTCAACTACTGGAGAATAGCTCTGTGATCAACAATGGCTGCCTGGTAAATTTTTATCCAAAATGGAGCTGATTTAGCAGTGATAAGTATTCAATCAAACAATGGAAGAGGCAGCACTCCATCATTTGATTATCAGAGTTTTCTTCAAGGTTGCTTCTGCGGTTTCTACACTAAGGGTGCATAAGTCAACATGGATTGTGCTCTACAAAAGTTTTGTAATAATAATTTAATTTTCTTACAATTTAGGCTTTTGTAATTCTCTCCTTGCCATATTCATATGTTGAGAGTTTTTGTGTTTGTATTGATTAATCAACATCCAATTTTAGTTCCATTTTTTTGGGTGTAATTTAACAATTCTAATTTTATTTTATTTTTGGTTAATTTTTTGTTTATTTAGCTTTGAAAGCTGAATATAATCTTGTGCCCAAATATTTGAATATTTGTATTGGATGATCAAATTAATTTGTAGTTATTCTTCATCATAAGTTAGTTTTGAATTTTTTATTTTATTCTTATTGATTGTTATGTGAATTTCACAAATAATTTATATGTGATATTTATTTTATGCTTGCAGTCCCAAGCACTTGTAATCTTTTTTTCCTCAAGAATATTTTGATGTGTCGGAAGTGTTTAACATATGCGTTGAACATTGTTGAATGATTACATGACGATGAAGATCGATTGTTCCATTCAGATTAACTTTTATGCTTACTCGGATCATATTCGTTCAACACTCGTGTGATTGTTGTTGCTGCAATGATTGCTATAATTGTATTAATGCATGAAAAAAAAAATGAAAAATGAAAGTATAATCTCTAAAGAAGTACAGCATCAAGCATATCTCACTATGTTATGTTGTTTATATCACAATTGTCAAAGAAATCCCAACACAACGTATTGGCTATGGCTAATTGGACAATTTTTACTCCATTTACATAAATGATGTATGAATCATCATGCATGCACACTGATTTCAACAACAGTCATGCTAAGACTTCTGATAAACTCAAAAGGTAGAACATGCATAGCATTCTGAAACTGAATTTTTTTAACATGTCACACAATTTTTATGTATTTACACATCTAAAACCTCAACTATAATGTTTACATACCTAAAATTCAAAATTTTAACATCACATAAAAAACACGAGAGCATTACTAACTTTTTAATAGTGAAATACACGTTTTCATGCATGTATTTATAATAACAAAGTATTGTATGTGTAAATATCAAGCCTTAGATGTTAGAAATGTAAATACATAAAAATTCTATTTTTATTCAATGCCAAGAGATTTCCAATGATGATTTATAACCCATACTTATATTGAGATTCCACAATCTTATAATCCAAAACCAACTTTTGATGAAAGTAATGCTCCAGAAGAAGAAATATACATATTCAAGTGCAGCCAAATATAATGCAAATAGCGCAACAGCAAAATTATTTCAGTATTTAGTATCATGCTTTCAGATACTAAAAGCTTAAAA